TTGTCGAGAGGTCATGTATGTTGAGCCGGGTTATAACTGCCCAAGTTTCCTTGCGATTTCTTAATCGGTAGTTGAGATACCGTTCTGTCTTAGTGTGTTTAGCTTTGCTATAAACTTCGCTACAATCACAGTTGTCAGTCGGATTTTTACCCGAGCAGTCACCAGAAATGGGAGCCACAACGCCACTGCGGTTAACATTTTTAAGTACTGTGACATTTGCATAAATTGTGATGTTCGTTCGCCGATAATTCGGCAACCTTGCTGATATTCAGAAAACTTTTTGCAGGGAACAAAGCCGAGGTGTAAAATCAATGTTTCTGAAAGCAGTCAAAGAAGCCGGTGAAGCAACCCGGTTACCAACAGCCAGTCAAATAGCCGGTTATGGTGGTGGGATGTCAGCATCAGCGTCATCCTGGTATGCTGGCGGATCAACAGCGCCACTGTCGCCTCAGCTTGATCGGAGTGGTGGGCAGAAACAACTGGATGACAGCGCTATGGACGAGGAAGAGGTTCGAGCTGTGCTCTTTGGTAGTTGTTTTTTGGAGATGCGAAAGTTAGGCAAAATTGCCATGGGGCAATGAGAATTCTGTACCCGAAAAGAGTGGGAAACTCCCCCCATTTCTCCCTACTTCCTTCCAGCGGATGTTGCTATTGCGCTGCACTACCTGCTTCTGTTTACGACTCGCTGCGCATTTTAACTTGGATGACCGTTGATGTTTCAAGGTTTTTTTTTTAAATAGCCACCAATTAGTATTGAATAGCTTCCTCTGGTAGTGAGCAGGGCTTTGGAATCCATGCTGCTTGATGCATTTCACGTTTATTTTCATACTGCTTTGGTACTTTGATCAGCTACAACTCATAGCCTGGACCTCAGTACCTCAAGACTTGGCAGTTTTTCCATTTATTTTGGCCAGTGCTACATCACCTAGCGATCAGCTTGCTCGAGTCCCTCACATACATTCCTTCTCCAGAAGGGGTTATCTATTCAACGTTCTTCCAAATGTAGTCAGTTAGCAAGGTTTTAGCTGATTTAGAATGTCGTTAGTGTATGTGTTGAATATACTATTCCAAGACCGCGATGGAGTAACCTGCCGAATAGATGTTTTTTGCTTTTTTCGTTACCACCTAAATATTTTACCTCATCTTTACTGTAAAGAAATATGCAAGGAAAATTTTGAAGAGTGTTGAGGCAGCGCCGTACGGTTGGTTCACTTCATCCCGTCTCCTTGCTTCTGTTTTCCCTCACTCCTCTTCATCCTGTTTTTGACCTTGGTTGTCTTGTAACTGGTTTTTTTTAGACAATCGAAATCGATGTTTATGATGATATTGGTGATACTTTATTTGTGATGCCAGACGAGGCAGATAAAAAAACTGGTAACACTCGCTCGATTGTAAAGACAATGGAAGAATGTAGTGAAGATCAACTCGAAATTGACAAAAAACGTGCAAAATTGCAAAAGTTCGTGTTATCTTTCCAGAATATTTACTTCCGTACAAACTGTAATGTTTTAAAAAAAGGTGGATCCGAGTCGTAAAGCGCTGTGGTTCTGTGGACTCAGTCTTCTCAAGCGTAGGTGTCTTCTGTCAATTTCAGGCCAGCCCACATTTTCGTATTACAAAAAAAAAAAATCAGGAGAACTTAATCTGATTGGTCCTAATTCAGCAGGAATTGCAGAAGAGCCAGTCCGGCGAAGATTTAATTCAGTAAAGAATGTGCTAAAATCATCCGGAAATGTGGAAAAAAAATTTTATAATTTTAAAAATAGAATGCCTAATCGTAGACAAATTGGGATGGAAGTCTGAGTACTAGAAGTCTATTCTAGCTTAAAGAAGCTAGATTTGGGGTAAGGTATGCCAATCCGTCAGTGTTTATCAGAAGCCCGTAGCACCATCAAGTCTTTTCAGCAATGTTTCCATCGATTTTACCAGCCTAGGTGACACAGTCTGTCGACAGCTTTCATGTGCCTTTATCATCTACTTTCGTATTAAAGTGTAGCTAGCCATTATGCTAGAATTGCTTGGCTTATCAGTCTGAGTTGTTCAATGTTGTTTTTGATGCAGTCGCTAGGCATGCCTCCTTTTTCCTGCGATACTCCCTTTCTTAATCACATATATATGCCGCCTTTTTAATGGTTTTAAATGGACCTTTTTGCGGTGTCACATTCTTGCGTATGCATGGACTCAAAATTTTTTGCCCTGTGCTTTCTGGAGCATGTTCTCATTTGTTGCCTTGTATGCCTTCTAAGCTCTTTGATAATATTTGTGATTATTTCAATATATTTTCAGAACTGGTCCTACGGATGAGCGTAGACTTTATGTAACTTTGAAAGGTGACTCAAACACTGGATTGGCTAAGCGGATGACAAAATTCAGTGAAGGAAATGCGGGATTTACTAAACAAAAACCCGAAAGGCGCCGGAATGAGGCTAATCCAAGTAAATTTTTGCAATCATTTTTGACCGCATATGTACTGACAAATGATTGCTCATTTACGTATTTGTTTTCCAAGCAGTGACGTGTCACACTGAACACGGGCGTCATTAGTAAGCATAGGACCTTTTGAAGCTCAAAACCTATGTATGAATGATGCTTGCGTTTTACTTCATTTGTCCTGTAACTATTTATAAATTTCTCCTGCAAAATTCCAATCCAAGCACATCAGCGTGGTATGGAAGTGGCAGCAGACAACACAAGGTCAAAGCACAACAGGGTACAACCCTGGCAGCTCCAAGCATTTTGAGCAGGAACTGCACCGCGTTTGTCCGGCTAAGCTATGGTCAAACAGCTATGAAGCAGAAACGTAATGTACACTAAAAAAAAAAAAAAACAAACACCTTTATGAGGCTAGCGTAAATAAAAGAAATAAAAATGGGCCTCAGTGCCCTGCACTCCCTTTGGCCCATTCTGCTGCGACGCGTCGGCGACGGAAGAGCGAGGGGCTGCCAAGAATTTCAGGCGTTAAATGGATGCCGCCACGAATTGGCCGAGGCCTCTCGCTCTGCACCTACAACTATAGGTCGCTATCGAGGGATGAACTCATAGGCCATCTTCTCTGGGAAATCAATAGAACATTATGAGACATCCTCAGTATGTGTAAAACACGGCGAAGGAATGGACAGATCGTAACTTGAAGAGATGGAAAACGGTTTTGCTCGACGCTAGAAAGGGATGGAGAAACGTCGACGGAGTCGGGTTCACCGTCAGCAGACATTGGTTCTGCAGGTCATCACTGTTTGTTTCGCTCATCACAAATTGCTGCGGATTGGCGTACTGTTTTTTAAGCTTGATTCTAGTGAAACGCCAAACTCGTCCATGTCTCCGCTCCCGCCTGGCTAGCAGTGAAGATGAAGGGATCAATTCTATGCTGAGCTCCAATCTACACTAATCACCAAATCTGCATGCACAGTCGTTACGGAAGACTTCAGTGCAAAGCTTAGACAAGAGGGAAAATGGGGCGAAGTACATTGGCAGATACGTAAGTGGAACTACAGAAGTGATAGGTTAGGCAGTGAACAAACTGTTTGTTGGCAGTACCTGATTCTAAAAAGATGCTCTAAATTCATTTGTGCTAAAATTTTTTTTCTTTGGTTGATGGCAAATTTTAACTTGTCTGGGATTCGAATTCCGTGTTTCTTGCTATCAGAGCGTTGTTTGGAGGACTGAATTATAGGTGACAGCATGGATTAATGTTTTTAGTCGGTTTGTCGTATTTTATTTCGCCTTTTTATAGTTCTGGCGCATTTAAATCTGCCGTGTCCGAGACATGCTGAGCGACAGTCGGCTGTAGATAAAAACACTGGTAATGCGGAAAGCGGCGATGTCCTTATGATCTCATCGACTGCAGGGGTTTGTTTTTTGATTCCCTTTTAACAGACAGACAGGCATTGCTGTAAAAGAGTTCCAGATAGAGATATCTAAAATATTTTTTTTTGTAAATTTCCTCTGGCCTTACTGCGGCTATTGTCGTGAAACTTCGTATCTTACTCCTATGTTGCCATACGCCCCTTGTCAAATTCCTCTTCCCCCTCTACGCCGTTTTGCATTAGTTTTTCCTGAATTGAATGCGATTGGTTAGCGCCATTCAACGGCTTCTTGTTATATTTCCCAAAAAGCTGAAATCTTTTTGGGAAAAATTAGTGCCTTTGTTTCTACTAACTAGATGCCGAATGCGGACCATGCTTTGACCTTAAATCCCCTTCACTGTCACCTTGTTCTCTAAACAGTCATCGAATACATAGGCAGTTTTTTTTGCATATCTGATACTGATAAATAGGCGTGTGCATTGACTTCAGGAGGGACACTAAGTTTATTAGAATAAAAAGAATGAAAGGGAACCGTTTCCAGCATAAGCATTCATTCCCACTTAAAGAGTCGAAATTGCGCTGACCGGTCATTTTTTTAATTATTTTTCGGAATTTTCTTTTTTTTTTTTTTTTTTTTTTTAACAGAGCTAACCACCAGACCACTGCATTATAATAAAGCATTGCTTTGCGTTGATTTACGATGATTTAAGGCTAATGCTGATGCCAAGGAGTTACCGCGTTGGGGTTTGCAAATTCAGCTACCAGAAGAAGACACGACTGACGAAGATGATAGTGATGGTATGAATCAAATATGAATTTAACTGTCGTGTTAGGAATCGAACCCATGTGGGTCCTGAATCTTTGTTTCCGGGGTTTTTGCCCTTTTTGAAAATCTCTACTCTCCAGGGAGCCACTGAAAAATAATTTTCCGTTTTATCTGAGAGTCTTTTTTGCAAAAAAATTCCAAAGCTAAAAAACAACCAACTTTTGGCAACATACTACATTATGATAATTTGGGCTTTCTAAGAAGTTAATCGAAATTTTGTGCCTTTCTTGTCGCTAGATTTTTTTAAAGCTGGGTAGCGACGCACCAGACTTGCCAATCCGGTCATGCTTTTTGTGCTAACTTTGATGGAATCAGTTCGTCAGCTGTGTGAATGGTTGTTGTTTTACACTTAACTTGTGCGCTCACTGCCGTAAATTTTGCGATGTGAAGGGAAATGAATAATTTCTAGTGATCGGTCGTTCATAGAAAATGACTTATCTGCTCTAGTTTCCCAGTTAACAATTTTTCCCTTCCAAAAATTTCACATACCGCATGTGAGGACCAACCGTGCTTAGGAATTGAATTTGAAATCATTAAGTTGTGCTTACACAGAGCACATTGTTTTAAAAATTCAGCACTCTGTCTTTCCTGGTTTTTTAACTGGCAGTCCTCCCACCCCGTCCTTTGAAAACATTCACGCGCCTATTCGTGAGACCCAAACTTACATGAAAGTTGATACCACGTTCCTAATATGCCGCTTGGCCAGGGAACCTACTGAAAAAATTTCAGCATCAGAGCTTGCCTGGTCACATACATACTCCATGAGCCAGTATTTGTTTTTCCATTTGCACAAATATGCAGAAACATATAAAAATTGTCTCTGCATCGGACGACGACGTTTTTTCCACTGCTGTTGCATTTGGCTAGCTTTACGTTCACATGAGCAAATCCATTAAAACATCTTCGTATTGGCCTTTTTGAGAGATCTCTGTACTGATGAATGTTATGTTTAAAACTTATATGATTTTCAGAAGCACGCATTGATGCGGTTCTTGCGAGCGCTCAAACAGGCCAAGATTTTGACGAAGTAATTCTTAAAGTTGGATTCTGTTGGCATTAGTCTTTCGTGTATACTGTGAACTGAATTTTGCATATTGCGTGGGAAGACGTGGTCGTCAGTGTATGCTTTTGGCAGTCGTTCCCAGTGGTGGCTTAAAAACTGACCAGTACCAGCGAGTGGCATTCGCGGGAAAACTCGATTAGTGAAACAGCCTTTAGTAAAGCAGGCCGCTCACGTGAAAGAAATTTCTTTAACAACTTGTACCAAACGTTTCGGAACAGGTGGTGCTGGCATAGCTGCGCTTGCAATTTGACTGTATCGCTGTAACATCAAGTACTCCACGGCATTGGTTCGGATGATTTAGACCACTTTGCGCATGACCATTTGAAGGTGCTACTGCTTTTGTACAGTAGTTAATTGCATCCAGCACTAATAAAAGATGCTCTTCATGGCAGGGTACAATCGTGTAAAATTTTTCGTACATAAAGCCTGTTTTGCCTGTTGGGAATTTTCGCTGTTTTGCGAAGTGGTGTGTGCAGAAGTAGTCGATATGTTATCTAGTTCTTGAACTACGAGATTTTCCACTACGGCACGTGAAACATAAACGCATGTAAAAGCTGAATTTGTAACCTTTAGCATCACATAAGGATGGGAAACATTCTTCCAAAAATCCAGCTTCCTAGTTTTCAGGCTTCAGAATGACACTTCCGCAAAATTTTCACTGGGCCATGCGTGAGAACTAGGCTTATGTGAAAGCTGAATTTGAATTTACGAAGTGGCACATTGGCAGAGGCACTTTCCTTGAAAATTCAGCTTTCTAGCTTTTGTGGTTCCCTGTTTGAAAAGTAAGGTCAAAATGCACTCGGACACCATATACACGTACACAAAGACAGGCAGACAGGGCGACAATATGCTTTTAGTGCAGCTGTTACACAGCACAAAACGCATAAAAATGACTATGATGAATAGCCTTTTTTACTAAAAAAAATTATTACAGGTACCTCCAACTCCGACATTATCGTATCCGGAATTTCGTCCTCAAACACCGCCACCACCACAATACTACGGTTCGCCGAGGCAAAATACGTCGTCGGTAGCTAGACAGGTACCATATCACAGTTGATATTTCACAATAATTCCCTTGCTTGGGTTGATCGTCGCACAGTTAGTTAGAGTGAAATAAATTTTGGTGCAGTTAGACACCATGAACACATTCAGCATGAAAGTGATTTCGAATATTGGTGTGCAGATGACTTGCTGAAGGCATAGGCTTAGAGGAATTGAACAGTTGTGTACCTAATCCTTTATGTATATCTTTCATTTTTATTTTGCAGCAATCGAATTCTTCACTGTTGTCATCGGTCTCGTCAGAAAAAATAATGGAACGTTGTAAATTTTGGCCAAGTTGCACGCTTGAGAACTGTTTTTACATTCATCCAAGCAAACCGTGCAAGTATGTTTTTTTTAAAAATTTGTTCAAGGGAAACTTCTGCGCATGTAAATTTTTATACATACTATAAGACCTTCGACTTACTGCACGACAGCAGGGTTAGCACTACCGCTGGTGAGACAACAAATCCATCTGCGATTCGTTCATTTATTTTGATGATAAACTGGTATTGCCAACATGCCAAGGAGTTAAATCCACCATTGGTTTGCTTGTAAGCAACCCTTGAAAGAGGGGGCCATCGGCAGTC